ACTGGAGAACAGAGCAACAAGTAAGAATCTATTTCACATGTTTACAACTGAACTTTCTTAACCACTGTGATTTACTTCCTACCTTTTATTAAGCTGCTTGACTCTTGTGTTTTTGTGTGTGTGTTTTTATGCAGGTTTATGTTGGTGCTGGCCAGTAACCAGCCGGAGCAGTTTGACTGGGCCATAAATGACCGTATAGATGAAATAGTGAATTTTGCGCTGCCGGGTCTTGAGGAGCGGGAGAGGCTGGTGCGGTTATACTTTGACAAATATGTGCTGGAGCCGGCCACTGGAGGGAGACAGTGAGTACACAAGAATAGAGCTGTTAAAGTGGCAATAGACAAGTCTACTAGTAGCATGTCGGTGATGAGAGAGAACAGAGCGTGAAAACGAAGCTGTCAGGTTACCTCACCTATTACAAACAGCAGAAATTATCTTCCTCCAAAGGGTGGCGTGGCTGTCTTTTATAGTTGGGGTTAGGAGCTTGATCATTCCGGAGAGGATCCGAGTAGAGCGGCTACTCCTCCACATTGAAAAGAGCCAGTTGAGCCATCTGATTCAGAGTAAGATGCCTTATACTGGAGGTGTTTCTAGCATGTCCACCTGGGAGGAGCTCCTGGTGTAGAGCCCAGACAGTGGAGAGATTACACGTCTCAGCCAGTGTAGGAACACTATACTGTGTAACAGTGGAAATTTCCTTCATGGCCTTTTCATGGTCTTATTCTGCTTTGTGTTTACAGGAGGCTGAAGCTGGCGCAGTTTGACTACGGGAAAAAGTGCTCTGAGATAGCGAAGCGGACAGAGGGCATGTCTGGACGAGAGATCTCCAAGCTGGGTGTGGCCTGGCAGGTACGAATCATCATATTATCTTTGCCTCCATAGCTGAAACCTTGTTATACCACTGGAGAGTGGATCTTAATTTCAAAATGAAAATGTTGTTGTTTTCCTTCAGGCGGCAGCATATTCCTCTGAAGACGGCGTCCTGACAGAGGCCATGATCGACGCTCGGGTCGACGATGCCGTCAAGCAGCACCTTCAGAAGATGGACTGGCTGCGAGGAGAGGAGGCGGCGAAGAGCCTTACACCCCCACCAGCTGGGGTGACGAGCAGCGGAGGAAAAATGGGTTTTAATCTGCCACTCAGCGAGACGCCTCAGGCCCAGGAGGTGATCGCTCCTGTCCTTGAGATTAATGAAAAGCAAGCACCTATGAACCTCTCAGCAGAGGGCCAAAGTGCCGACCGAGCTGGACACAACAGCACAGCAGAGAGTTCAGGTCAACCTCCTGCCTCCACTGACAGCAAGATGAGAGAAGACTCTCCTCCTAAAGATGGAACTCCAGTTTGAGTTCATTTTTCCCAGTGGTGCTACCTGGATAGGAAAATTTTAGCTTTCTGCCTCTTTGACTAGAAAGTTTCAATCTAAAGGCCTGTTGGGATTGTCTTTACGACAGAAGATGAGTTTCTAGCGTTAACCAATTAACTACAAAATACAAATGATGGCTGAGACTCTTTCGGTCTTATGCATCATGTACACAATGTAAACGTTTATTTTACATGGAAACCAGTCGCTGTGTCTGTAATTAAACTATATAAATGTACTAATTAAAGTGTCTCTGTTGAAACAATGAAACTGATCCATGTTTTCATAAAAAGTAAAGATTGTTACTACAATTGATGATTTGTGGTGTTTCTCTCAGAAGCCAGAAGTCTGAAAGGCTAAGAAAGAGTCGTACTGTGACACCTCCAACCTTTAGGGCAGAGACTTTAGAACCACACAATGCATAACGAATAGAAGGGCGATGATAAGACGAGTGGGTAGTTGTGTTCGATAGGAATCCATCTGGGATTTCAGTATTTCACTATAATAACAGAGTTCCCGTTGAAGCTTCATATTCAAAGGAAAGTCGAGGGCATGAAGTTGTCCATGGTTTGGAAAAGGCTGCATGATTAAATGCCCTGTCACATTTTATGGGACCCTCTTATGTAGCGTGATGTGCAGGTTTGCATGAGTAAGACATCAATCTGGCATTCCTGACAGGGAAAGTGAAGGTTGTTTTAGACAGATGGGGATATGTTTGACTGATTTAAAAAAACAAACAAACATCTGGTTAAATCTTTTGTAGTATCATGCTGGGAGAGCTGTTTGAGCTGCTTGCATAAGACCTGGTTGACCAGAAAAGTGGCCCTGAGCTCCTAAGAATGGGCTTAGCTCACACAAGCTGACTCCTTACCTCTGCTTTATATATATGTATTTATATTTTTATTAGTAAGTAGCAAGCACAGAAAAACACTGACAGTTGCAGAGGCAGTGTATGGCAACCAGTGTACAGTACATGTGTGTATAAGGCTTGTTAACCCCTTAAATGTTTCCATATCACAGAAACAGAGAAAACAGGCTGAGAAATGGCAGATCTGCTTCTACAAGATTTCCCTGAGGAAGTGTGTGTGTGTGTTTTTTTTTTGTTTTTGTTTTACATGCTGGTGGTTCCACTGGCTGCTAAAATATCATTATTACAACTGTTATTACATTCTGTTATATTTCAGTCAGAACTACAGTTTTATGTCAAGTGCTTCCATTAACTTGTGGCTCTATCTGCACCATGTTCCCGCTGGATTCCTTCGAGGGTTCAGGATGTGGACGCCTGAACATGTTCCTTATATTTCGGAATTTTGGCATCCATGGATGGAAACGATCACCTGGAGATAAAATAATAATAATAATAATAATTAGGAGTTAACACATTAGGAGTTAGGAGTTAACACACACACAGTAAATTTTTTTCAAACTGATAACTTAAAATAAGAAGCCTGTTTATAAAATACATTAACTACATTCTTACACGGTTTTGCACATAGACGCAAATAGAAATTGGCGCCCTCACTGCTTTTGAAGCTCGCATTACCCGACAGGGAGAAAATTACAGAGGGGTAAAAACGAGTTCGCCGTGGCAGCAGGATTACAGCCACAGAGAGCCAACAGTAATAGAAGAAGAGCTGAGGTTCAGTGGGCTGCGTGGATGTTACCTCCCGCAGAAGCACTGGCGGTAACCAGTCATCATGGTTACGGTCAGCATGCAGCTGAATATCAGCTGGACCTTATTTTCTTTCAACTCTGTGGACTGTGGGCAGTCCTAACATTTTTGTAATATTTATATTTTCTTCCAAAACTCACAGAATAGTTGAAATACGACTATCACTATCCGCAGTGGCGGTCCTAGCCTGTTTGGCGCCCTGGGCGAACACTCCCCCCAACACACACGTAAAACATAAGGATTGTACATTAACATAAAACTGTTGTCGGAACCATACTGAATTTCACCAGAGAAACACACACACACATATATGAAGAGAGAGAGTATGCATAGTATGCAAACGGCTACCAAACAGCCATCATAATTCGTCATACAATGAAAACAGGACAAATCAACAATTGGCAATGACTAATTAATATCAAAATCTGCAACATATTGTTTGGAATTTAGTCTGTTACTGTTACTATTTTTACCATTTCTTCTTGGAGCAACTGTAACCCACATAATAAAGGGATTAATAAAGTATTCTGACCTGCCATTATCCAATGACACATCTGCTTACCTGTATCTTTTGCTCGTTTCTCGTCCTCTTCCTTTCTCTTTTTTCTAAACTGAGCACCTGATGACTTTGAACTTTTCTTGTCCATCTTCCATTGGTTTTAATTTTGCACTCCAGTATGAACATAAGTCCCCCAACTCGAGGATCACACCACAACGTAACCTAACAGACCTACACCTTCCCTCTTTTATATTTTCACTGATGAGCAGGGGCGTGTCTAAAATGTGTTTGGCCCCCAATCTAACTGTTATTCTCACAGTTTAGTTATTTTTTTAAAATCTTCATCCACGATTTATTCATCCATGTATCCATGTCATTATTTTTTATATCTACTGAAATCCTTTATCCTCCTTTTTTCTAACTGAGCTCTTACCTACCTGAGCCATTTAATTCTGTGATAGTGCATTTCAGTGGACTCGTAACCCTACCCTTAGGGCGAGGGATTAGGGTTAGGCCTCCAGTGTGGGCCGGGGCCCCCTGGAGGGCCGCAAAGGTACTGCAGGTGGGTCGCATTAATAACAGAAATCCAGTTTGAAATTACTCACATGTACAGTCACATTTATATATATGTATTTATTTATATGAAAAGTGAATTAAAACAGGTGATTAATCATTACATTGAGCGATTTTTTAAATGCAATTTTCAAGTAAATTTATGAGGCTCTCTGTTTGACTAGAGCGAAAATTTAAGATTAGGTGGGCCCTGTGAGATTTTCTGGTTTCAGTGGGTTGCAGTACTCTTAATTTTGGGAATGTGTGTATTATTTTATTTTATTTACCTACTTTTTTTAAAGGTGGAGTTTTGGCTTCTTTAACATGAATTTCCCCAAATATCCCAACTTCTGTATTATCTCATATTACCACTGGATTAAAGAATAGTAGTTGGATGTACCCAAGTATGTTAACTTCAGTACTTTACTCAGGTACACCTTCATTGTACTTTATATGTTATGCTGCTCTCTACTTCACTATATTTTGGATGCAATGTTTGTACTCCATACCATTCATGTTCGAACTTTATTAGCTTTTGCAGATTTCTAATTATAAATATACCAGTATTTCTACAGATCCACCACTGGGAGTATCCTCACTGCCATGCTGAAGGACCTACACCTTCAGCATGTGGTGAAGACATGCCCACCCTTGCAAATAGTATACAACCCACTCCACCACCCGAGCCTCTCCATGTTCTGTTCTGATATTTTAATATATTTGCTTTAGTCAAACTGAATCAATAATTCAAATCTAAATAAAGATCAGCCCATATTTTATATCCAATTCTGGTAATTTGTCCTCATCACTCATGAAACAGTCCTAACAGCGCTGTTAGTCTTCGAATACCCATTTTGTAATTAAATAACTCAGCAGGAACTAAATACTGATAGAGTCAAAAAAAGGGTCATGAACTATTTCTTAGAGAGGCTTCGTTCTTTAGTAGATTCATATGTACATACAGGAAAAAAGAAATATCAGGCACTCTGAGCCGAGCTCGCAGTTTGAAAATAAGTACAATGCTTCAGTTCAAGAAAAAAAAAACTAAAAACAAAATACTGTGGCCAGAAATACAGCATCGAGTTTAAATATCAACACATATCTGAAACACACCCGATGAAAGCCTCAGAGGTCTAGGTTTGGTTATTCATTATTAATTAGCCCACCCACTTAAAACTTAATCATAACTAAATCTACAAACACATGGTCGCACAGAAACAAGCATACACTTCAAATAATTCTCCTCCAGCATGTAAACACATGTACACCCTCCCAAATATTAAATAAATCTGGCATATATGCTTGAATTAATCATAGATCTAAGAAAAAAACAAAAACATTCTGTGCCAATCAAAAATGAAAGTAACTGGAGGAGCTGTTGAATCTGGCCTGTGGGTGTTGTGGCTCTCCCTGAGGAGACATAGTTGAGTGATTTGACTGGACCTGTGATATTTGGAGGGATTAACCTTGGCCTGACCTTGATCTGGAGGAATGAAAGGCAGAGCAAGAGCAGCGAGTCCATCCTCTGCTTAGAGGAAAAACCCATTATCAACAATATGTCCAACAGCAGCCATTTGTTAGGTCCTGACCCAAAGCTATTTATGTGTGTCTGTGGTTGTGTAGGCACACAACCTGTATGCACTGAGTCATGGATGACTGAGGAGTATGATGCATGTGTGTCCATATACTTCTGTGTGATTGCTTGTGATCTCGGTCTGTGTTTATTGCAAATTGTTGCAGAGTCTTAGTAGAAGCAGACAGTGTGAAGGAAAGGCCTGTTGCTTTTGTCCTCAAACTCTTGTAGGAGCTCGTCGATTTCATTCTCCATGTCGTCGGTGTGCTGGATCTGCAGGGGCGCACAAGGGAAAGCTATCAAAACACCACCTGTGCATGCACACGCCTCATTTCCACCACTCACAAAGATCGTTTAACCTTTCTTTAGGTGCCAACTGAAACAGTGTTGCACATTATTTACGTGTATATTTATTAGTAATTTGTTTAAAAAAAAAAAACAAAATTGTAAGAAAACGCCTCGTCAAGAAGTTCTCAGATGCTGTCACTCACACATTGGCACAGCTCACAGATGAGGAAGGCGCCCAGTGTGGCTTCCTCGTGGTTATCCTGAATGTCTACATTGATTACATGCACGGGCTGCAGCGTCTCCTGCTCTCTGGAATTCAAATCTAGGAAATACATTAAAGACCAGGTAAAGGCAGGTAACAGTTGGAGAAGCAGCAAAGCGGTGGGTTTGTGAATGACTCCGAGTAATGTTACAAAACCTCACCCTCCACCACTTGGTCATAGACTCTCTCTTCACAGGTGATGACCAGGTCAAACTTGTCCTTGCAGTTCTGGAAGCGCTCTGGCTTTGATTTGATCCGCTTGTTGCGGTCCAGCATGTGCAGGATGCCGTTTTGTGTGTATCTGAAGAGCGAGGAGGGTCAAGGAATACACAGCACGAGGCAAGAAGGGGAAACCCCCCAAAACAAAACACTCAAAACAAAATAAAACTGATCAGAGCAACAGAGAGAGGATTTCAGTGTGCACCCAATTAGACTGAACTCACTGGTCCAAGCAGCATCTATATAAAGTGCATCTCGATCAAACTACACAAGGGGGCATGATGCACTTTTCAGTGACGTCTAGTTACATGAACTACATCGCCCTCTAGTGGTGCAGACTATTCACCAATGAGGGGTCAGTTAGAAAACAAGCTGAAAGGATGGATTTTCAGGAACATTGTTTACTTTTTTTTTTTTTTAAACAGCATTAAATCCAGAGTTTTAATATTAACAAGCCACACTGGTACTGCCAGGCTGATGCAGACAATGTCACCATTGTTTGTTTTTTATTCTTTCAAAAAATTTGATTATAAACTATACAACCCACTCACTACAAATGGGAAGAGATTGTCTAAATAAATAAATAAATAAAAGTAGTTGTTGTGCACTACATCAGTGAGATATCCATGCAAAACAGCAGAAAATACAGAAAAAAAATACAAGCACAGTGACTTAAGTTAATCATGTGTCACAGGGTAATTTTCTTATTTAGGATAACAGATTTGTTACTTTACCTTAATGCAGGCTGGGAAAAAACACCTACAATACAGGACCATCAGCAGCACAACAGTAAATGACACCTCAGAGAAAACTTGCCTGACCTTTGAACATGCAGGCCTCTACAACCAGATGAATTAAAGGCAGATTTCTGTTTTTAGCACATTTAAAAAAAACAAAAAGAAAGAAAGAAAATAAAAAAGTTGAACTAAAACAAAGGAAGGTTTAAATAGAAGGACCATGATTACTGGTTACTGATAGAAAATATGTGAACTTTATCATTAAAGTAAAAATAAATAAATAAAAGTCCTATGCATGCACAGTTAAAGTGCAGCCACTGAAGACTAACACACTTGTACTCTTTGTTGAACACCACTAATTATCTAATGTGTTTGAGTGCCTTTCATTAGCATAAACATCCCACATGCTAATGAGGAGAAACTGATAATCTTTAACTTACCTTGGGGCACTCAAGCCTACAGCTTAAAACAACCTCTTAGATTCATGGCCCTTATGCACCCCCCTCCCCCCCTCTGGGGTTAGTGGGTGTCATCCACTTGGGCAAACTCAGCTTCTTTGCTAATAGTTCATATTCTGTCCTTATCAAGTTTTACAATTTTGATAACTGAGACAATACTTATTCTCCACGACTAACTACAAAAGGCGAGTTTGTGTTACTTCAACAGTACAAATACTCTAAAGTATTGTTAAAATGCAATAATTGCATTAATCATTACACAGTAACGCTAAGCAGCCTCATCAAATTCACAAAAAACTGGTGTTTGTGGGGTAAAACACCCCCAAAAAACAAAACACCCTCAAACCTTTTAGTTAACAGAATTTAAAATAAAACTGAACCAGTTTTATTAACTTAAAAGCTAAAGTAAACTTAAAAAAAGAAAAAAACAAAACAAAAAACGTATACACAGGCAGACTGAGTTTTGTCTTTGTCAGTTTGGTAAAAACCTGCCTGACGAGGCTTTGCTGCACATTTATTGAGACTCTGGATGTGAGTTAACCCTCCTCAAAGTGTTGGTTTTGCATTTTCACACCAACTCTGAACTTATTTAAATGTTGCCTAAAACAAATATTACAATAACTAAAAGACTGAAACTACTTGAACTAAACATGTTAAAAAATAAACAGAAACAAGCAAAAACAGGAAACTTCAGTGAGCCAAATTACACCAATTTCAAATAAAAACAAATAAAATCCTAGCTCTTACCAAAGCAAACTTACTGCTGCACCGCTGCTGTATTGCAAGGCGTTTCTCCACACCCTACATGTTAAAGATTTAAAAACAAACCTTTTTACCATCATGTTTTTTTTTCTTTTTAAATCCCTGCATGTGGTTTCATCTCCTTTCACTGCCCAGTGTCCAAAACAACTATCTAATCAAGACAGATACACGGCCCACGTTTACTTATCTGGCTCCTAGTATATGTGAGTGTAAGGACGTGTGTGATGTTGTGTGTGGGAAGGGGATACAGTTCCTTGTCCTTGCGGACCAAGTCGTTGTACATCTGTTCATATGTCGTTTTGAAGTCATACACATTTGGCTTATCCGGAGCAGGACCGGGTAGCTTCACATGAGACCCTGTCCCAAATGAACGCACATCAAATCCACGTTTGCTGCAGAGAGGAAAGGACAAGACAGTGAATTATGCAACAACTTTGAGAAAACATTACGAAAGCACAAGGAAATAAGTCTTTCCACAGCAGTCACGTAACCTGTAAACCCAGCCCTGTAAACTGCCTCCTCACATATTTAGAATAAGACTTTATGAAACCCAAGACACCTCAAAATACCAATTTCCACCTCAGCTGACCATTTTAATTTTAAAAAAGGAAATTAAATATTAAAAAAATTAAATAGGTGACAGTTTGTCACCCTGGTCTGCAGATCTTTTTACCCCAGCCTGTTTTTCTAATCCAGTGCAGTTAGTAAGAATATATCTAAAGAGGGCTGAAAGGCTCTTTTTTTGTAGTGACATCTTCTGTGTAAGAAGATCTGATCGACACAACACAAAACTCCATAAAATGTGGTGGATGAGGCAGCTGACGGAGCCGTCGCTGTGAAACCTCCAGACGCTCCCTCTCGGAGGATTCCCTACAGGGGGCGCTCTTGTTAAAATGTGGGGGGAGAATACAACCCAACAACTTGGGCCTTGGTGTGACTTCTCTAAAAATCAGTTTGACAGCAGAATCTTAGTTAAGACCATTCTAGGCGACCCTAAACCTGTGAAACACGGTCAGAAAGCTGAGTTTTAGTCGAGCTGCAGCCTCGGTGTGGCGCTCTGAGCTCGAAGTCCATTGTTAAAAAGCGTCGAGGCCTGACGGGCTGTCACCGCATCGACACGGCTCAGAAAGCCGCACAGATTTCGATCACTTTATGGCCGCCTTCCTTCTCTCTTCTTCCAGTCGTCTCATCTTTACCTGAGGATATTGTGCGCTTCCATACTGCGGTTCTGGTTGCTCGAGCACACAACCGCTACACGCAGCGGGTGGCTCGGCATCGCGACTCTCCGGCTGAAACTAACCGATATGAACTCAAAACCTAACTGAGGCTGTTACTTTTATCTCTATGAGAGAAATAAAGAATAAAAAACCAGTTGTTTGGATCAACGAAAACGCTTTTCGAGTGTAGATACAGCGCGACAAGCTCGTCTTCTTTAGAAGCAGGAAGTTAAAATGGCGGAGCGGCACCTTGCCCTGGATACGGCTTTAAGTGATGTCATGTTGAGGGCGGAGCTTCGCAGCTCTCAGCGCAGTGAGGCCACGTAACGTCAGTAAGGAAAACATGCCGGAAGAGCTCGGCCTTCTCTTTTCGCCACAGTAGAAGTGGCTAAAATCTCTCGTACCATTAAAATCTTCAGTAAGCAGACACAGTCAACGGGCTTTTAGCAGCAGGGCATACAAACACAGGGACCATTAATTCCACATTTCATGTCTTACAACGTTTACTTTGTATTTAATATGTTCGTACAGTGCTGTGTTTTGGCTGCTGTCTACGACATTGCAAGGCTATTTCCAAACTGTTTTAAGGCCATCACTCTACAGCAGGATAAATCATTCACAAGTGGAAAACATTGGAGAATGCCGCAAGTGTTCAGGGTGGACTTCCCAGCAAAATCAAAGTCCTACATTTCAAACTCAGATATGTCCAGTTAGAAAAAGACTGACCAAGTATGGGCTGCTTGGGAGCCGGGGAAAAATGGTCATGACTTAGGTTTGTAAAATTGTATCTGAACAAGCCACAGTAATCCCAAACATAGCAGCAAATCTAAAATAGAATAGCTGAAAAAGAAATCTGTCTGCCTGTCTACACATGAAAGAATGAAACTTAATAGCTAATCTTTTTGTAATATTTAAGTCACCATCTTGTCTTTTTCTGTAGTTTTCATGCATTGTAATGTTTTGTGGGTTAATTTTATTTTTACTTTTTTTGGTTCTTGTTTTGTATGTGCACGCATACACACACACACACACACACACACACACACACACACACACACACACACACACACACACACACACAGAAAAAGAAGAAGAAGAAAAAGGACAGCTTCTCAATATTAAAAATGACCTCATAGTACTTTATTCACTGACAGCAGGACAGAAAGGTGGTTTAACTGAAGATGTTTGGCACAGTATTTGGAGATTGTACACCAGATTGTATTGCCCTTCAGAAAATGACAAACAAAGCAAAAACAGTGCTGTTGTGACTGACTCGAGTGGAGAAATGTGTTAACTGGTAAAGTTTCATTTTTCGGTGTCCCATTAAGGACACTTTTACCGACTGTCCATTTAGCAAAACTCTTGTTTCTCATGTACTCAGAGCCATTTCATTATTGGTATTGCTGTAGACATGCTGCCCGATTCAATCCCCAGACAGCCTTGACCAAACGTGACACAGTAAACTGCCGTATTTACAAACTGCAGATAACCAGTAGGCTAATTTTGGTTCAGTGCATCCTCGCGAGGTTCAGAAGGCATGTTATTAGCAGAGCCACAGTAGATTGTGCTTCAGTTAGGTCATAACAGGATGAGTGTGTCATACTGGAAAAACGGAAAACAGGACTACTATAGATATTAACTATGACTGCGAGATTTATGGAAACTTGTTTCAGCAGCTGAGAAAACTCTTTTTGCCACTGAAAAAACAAAATTTTGGGTTATTATCGCAAAAACTGACTCAAAATTGAGAAAATAACTTGAAATATTGATACATGGATTACAAAAAAACCCTCTGTTCATTTTCCCCCCAGGGGCAGAAACAAGTCTCCACAGAGATAACACATGACCGCGGAGCGCGTTCATGTGGGTCATTTTAGTGCATCAGTGATGTGAGTGAGCGCGGTAGGAGTACGTATGCTGTGCCGCGGGGCTCATGATGTTTTCCGTGATGTACGCCACCAGCAGGCAGATGATGACCAACATCACGCAGATAGCCCCGCCCACCGTTGTCATGGCGATCACAATGTCTTGCATCCCGGACGGCGGCAGCGTGAACTCCACGCAGTCCCGCTGCTCCGGCCTCTCGGCTGGCTCGGAGCGGCCCAGGTTGCGCAGACAGATGCGGTACGGGATGTTCTCGTGGAGCTCGGTGAGCAGAAAGTCCCTGCAGCCCGACCCAAGATGGACACCGGCGCACTCAAACTGAGTGTAGCTGCCATTCCACCAGCAGCTTACCTCGTAGCCCCCGCGTCTGTGGCGTCGACCCCTGAAAACAGAGTCTGATCGCGGAGTTTCCTCCTCTGTCGCATTCGTCCCAGGACTGCTGGCCTCTTTAGTCTTTGTGGATTCGGACTCGTGGGTCCACTGTAACAGTACGCTGCCGTTGTTGAGAATATTTGCCACCAGCCTCCCGAAAGACACCGCACTCCTGCATTCTCCCTTAGAGCACTTGTACCCAAACAGAGTTTGCCGAAAGCACAGCTGCCCCCCAATGCCTCCCTCGATCACTCTGTAGGCGCACACCGGTGATGGCACGTCCTCTGGGCTCCATCTCGGTGCCCTGCCAGGGCTGTCAGATATCACAGTATTATTATTATTATTATTATCATTATTACTATTGCCTCGACTTGTGTTGAACAAGGAGCTCTTCACGTGGCCTGTTACCTCTTCATGCTTTGATGGTGGCCTGCTCTGATCGCTGGGAGTCACGTTAGTCTGTTTCAGCCAATTTTGGGTCACATTATTTCTGTCTCTCACCTCTGATGAGGGCGTCGATAATGATGATGATGATAATGATGAGCTATTGAGCTGATGAGAGCCAGCTGTCTGGGGTAGCGTGCAGAGCAGCAGTGCCGATAAGGCGAGCAGGGATGGTCGCTGTGGGTTTGTCATCTCACCGAGCTCTCGTCGAGTTATTTCCTCTCACAGTGGATCAGATGGGCGATGGCTGAAATGTCTGCCATAAGATGCGATCCAATTCAGTGCACGCGAAGAAAATCCGCGTGAAACGGGATCCATGGGCGACAGAAATAACATTGAGTCATGCGCCCCGTGCAGTTGGTGAGAGATCCGAGGGTGACCTTGCAGGATGAAGTTAATGCACCAGAGACGGCGATAAAAGTGGCCTCAGTGCAGCTCGCCGCTCCCGGACAGTTGGAGTGGACCGGAGGAGCAGGCTCGTGCCATCAGATTGGATTTCTTCTTCCCGTCTGGCTTGACGTAAATGGCTTTGATGCCTGCTGTGTTAGAGTGCACGTGCAGGAGCGCGCCCCGCGGAGTGCTGGGCAGCGTGGGTGCGTGCACAAAATATTTCTTGTCATCAGTGCTCGGTTTGTGAGTCATCAGCCCACACAGCGCTTCAGGTAGCTGTCAAGTCACCTGTGCGGACTCCCGAAAACAGCACTGATGGAGGGATTGAAGTCTGCCCACCTGCGCTGAGTGTATCCTTTATGACTTATGGTCGGGTCGCTAGAAGAAAATGTGCCCAGTTACAACGTTACAGCATCGATGCTCTTTTCATGGCTTCAGCCTGGAAAATGGTCAGATTGTCTGAGATGAAGTCAAACTGAGTTCAAAGCCAGAGTGTTGTGACCCTGTGTAAAATTAAATAAAAACGGAAAGATTTGCAAACCTCACAAACCCATATTTTTTCCACAACAGAATAAAGAAAGCATATATTTGAAATGAAAGTATGTACACCTTTAAGAAAAAAATATCAGCTCATCTTTTTATTTGATGGTAGTAACACATATCAAAAAAGCAGAACAAAGCCACGTTTATCACTGTTTACATCCGCTCCTCTGCCTCTGTTAACAACAGCCTGGGAACATCTGGGAACTGAGGGGACCAGCTGTTCGAGTTTTGGGAGAGGAACGTTGTCCCATTCTTGTCTGATGCAGAAGTCAAGCTGCTCAGCAGTCCTGGCTCTTCTTTCTCATATATATATATATATATTAGGGGTGCAACATTTTTAAATGTAATGTTGCTAAAACAACAAAATTATTAAAAAATAAATAAATCTATCTGATCGAGAAATCACTCATCTTTGGAAAAGAGAGTTTATTACAGCGAAATGGCTCTTTCCAAAATAAAAGCTATACTATACGCTTCTTCTGGGCTATATTCTCAGCAGCATATTAAACATATCAGGTGCCCATAAGGAGAATCATGTGCTAACGGCTGTCTAAATGACTCGGGTAAAGTTTGTAGCATGTGTGCTTGTTGTTTTTGTCTGCTTCCACTTGTCTTTGAACTAGGATGATGTCGGAGTAAATGTGCAGTCATATTCGTTGTGTTCCCACTAGTGCTGTCAGCGTTACTGTTGTTAAAATGACTTTAACGCCATAACGCCGCAAATCACCGTTAACGTTATATGAAGTCATTCTTTTTTGAACAAAACTCAAAACAGAGGCTATTAATCTTTCAGTCATTTCTAAAGCATCCAATATTGATTTTCAGCCTTGTTCCTTGCACACAGAGATTTCTCCCGATTTTCTGAATCCGTCTATGATATTACGCTCTGCACATGACGAGATATTCAAAGTCTTCACAGTTTTACATTAAGGAACATTATTTCTAAATTCTTCCACAAACATTTGGCTTAAACCTCTGCCCATCTTTACTACAAAATCTGCCTCTCAAAGACTCTTTTTATGCCGAATGACATTAATGACCTGTTGCTAAGTAACCTAATTAGTTGCAGTGTGGCTCCATAGTCCTTTACGTAGTTGTTAGGCAAGCAAAAGGTTGCTGACCTGGTTCCAGTCAGAGATATAATTCCCTTTTGGCTTGAGTCAGGAAGGACATCCAGTGTAAAACACTTTGTGATAAGGGAGCGGCTCAAGAGTAGTTAGATGCAGACTGATCCTCCAGCTGTTTCTTTTTAGTAACGCATTTTTCCCCCCATCCCAATTAGGGCATCAAATTCAAGTAAGATGAAAATTGTCACACACTAGTAAAATGTCAAAGTTTACATATTTATATGTTTTCTGTGTTCTATTATAGATAAAGTGTAGGTTAATGAGATGTGCAAATCATTACATTCTGTTTCTATTTACAGCGTGCCAACTTAAGCTAACATAAGAGTGCTTTTGATTGCATCCACGTTTGTATTAACTAGCCTACAGCTAAAATTTGTTTGGTCCGCGGTGTACTCGGGTTATAAAGCCACAGTCCAGCAATCTTATCGTTCAGTATTTGTACTGTAATTATATACTTTGTAGTATATAATTTACTGTTGCTGGTCGCAGTTTTTGTCATATGAAAGAGCAGGAAGGCATACACTTTGCTCAGCATTAGATGACATAAAGCTGGGATATTTAATATTTAAGCACTTTGCATGTCTGTAAACTGACGAGTTTACACCGAGACTGATGACATGACACTCATGACACATGTTGTATTGATGTTCGAAACATGAGTATTAACAGGTTCTTCAAAGCAAAGTCACTGCTGCTGATTAAATGTGGTTCAAAATCACATTAATGCACTTTGCATGTGCTCATATCATGTTGTTATATCCGCTTGTGAGTTTGGACTCTGTTGATGCACGGCTATACTCTGATGCAGTCCTTCTTCTGTGAGAGTCTTGATGTTTGCTGTTGTTGAGACTGGTTCTGGGAGTTTGATGAACAACCTTTTGGTTACTGAACATCTGACCTCCACATAATACAAGGCCCCCCCCCCCAAAAAAAGAACTTTGTGCAGTCTACAGCAATATGCAGTGTAAATACAAAACAAAACAAATACATTAGTATTTTGGAGTTTCGTGGGTTCTCTTATGGAAACTCTCCTGATGATAAAAAACAGAAAACAAAGCGGAAAAAAATTCCACTGCTGATTCATAATGATGATGTTCGGTTCTCAGTGTACATTTAACTAAGATGTGCTTAGCTAAGAGTAATTGAGTTTTCTCAAGAGATTAACCGGTAAATAATTAACACCAAGGGAGTGAGTGTGAATGGCTGACTAAAAGATTTTAAGTGCTGAATCACTTGAACGTTTTCTTTCTGGTGCATTTGGTCACCTGTTACTTTATTGCCCTTTAGCTAAGCTTATCATGAGACAATAAAAACAAACAAATAATACCCAGGTCAGATTGCTAATCCATTGCAGAGTTATGTGCTGTGGTTAGTATGAGCAGTGACTTGCAGGTGTTCGTGTGTTGATGGGCAGCATGTTGAACTGCTCTGTGACGCACGGATAGCTGGAAAATGCGTACCTTCGTGCTCTCGCAGCTTCTAATGGTCAGATTAAATTGACCTTGAGACTGATCAGCAACATTTGTTTATGTGTGATGAATGTGTTTGTTTATCAGTGTGCGCATGTATAAAACACAATGAGAACTGTGAGGAGTAGAGCTCTTCAAGCTCACAAACCAGCCTTTTGTTATAAAGAGAAGGAGAAGTACGTCGCTATGCAGAGGATGATACCATGTCAAAGGTCCTCACTGTAGAAGCGATTTTGTTTGGGGTCTTGGTGTTTTCTGGTATTTTGGGAAACATCCTGGTCATCTATGTGGTGAGAAAGCACACAGTATTTGGAGTGTGAAGTAGGCTGAATGTTTTGGTTTGAGTTGTTCTCAGTCTGTCTCGTTTTTGCTATCAGGTGTTTCAGTCAGTCACTAAGACTCCACCTCGGAGACTCCCTCCTTCGGACCTTATTCTGGTGCACCTGTCCCTAGCAAACCTGCTGAGCTCACTTTTCCGCACAGTGCCTATTTTTGTGTCAGACCTGGGCTTGGATCTGTATCTGTCCTCCGGATGGTGCAGAGTCTTCATGCTGCTGTGGGTGTGGTGGCGAGCCGTGGGATGTTGGGTGACCCTGACGCTGAGTGCTTTTCAGTGCACCACACTGAGACGCCAAAATGTGGCCTTTGGACCTCTTACTGTCCAGAGGGAGAGGCGGCGGCTCTGGGTTGTCCTGGGGGTGGTGTGGGGGGCGAACCTGGCTTTCTCTGTCCCTGCACTGGTATACAGCACTCATGTTAAAGGCAATGCCACAGTGGAGCTGATGGTGATCAGTTCCACCACCAGGCCTCTGCTAGGCTGCGTCTGGGAGTTTCCATCAGAAGAACAAGGCACGGTCTTCGCCTCTACTTCGCTGGCAGTGAACGAGGTGTTGCCGCTGGTGCTGATGGTTTGCACCAATGTTGCCACACTGCACGCTTTGGCCAAGCACATCCGAGCTGTTGCCTCAGGAGGGACCCACACCGAACTCGACAAACATCTGTCTAGCGAACGTAAGGCAGCTCAAGTAATCATGTCTCTGGTGTTGCTGTTTGTTGTCTGCTGGGTGCTACAGGTTGCTGCAGTAACGTACTACAACCACAACAGGGGGCACCATGCTGAAGGGCTGCTGACTGTTTCCCATTTTTCTTCTTCACTGTTTGTGGGATTCAGCCCCTTGGTGGTGGCCCTGGGACATGGAAAACTGAGGAGAAAAATCATGAGTATGATGCTAGGGTGAGCTACAATTCTTAAATGTCACAGTAAGGGTGCCGAAAAGCAGACTAAATCCCCAACGGCTACAGGAAAGAAAAAAAACAAACAGTTTTTGTTGTTCAAAGAGAGATGAAGGTCATAAAAGTGCAAGAGAAGATTAAATAAAAATAAATTCTGAACAAGAGCACTCAGAGAAGAGCAAGGACTATACTAAAACTCTCATGTTTTATTATGTTTTTATTACAACACATTGAGGTGTGACCTTTGACTCATGACCTTAAAGCATTACATACTAAAATGGTGTCTTTATTTTATTGTCTTTACTCATATGTTTGGAGCAGAGTCGAATGAAATCTTTGGCTCCTATAAACGGTTAAATTTGTGATTTTCACATATATTCATGCGGTGTGGGATTTTGCAAAACTTTCTAGCGTCTTTGTGACATTAAATAAATAAAAAGAACGTTGTACAGCTCTCTTCAAGACCTTTCTATTTAAACTATTACTCAATATGGTTTTTTAATCATTTTTTAAGGTCATCTTTTATCTCAGGTGCTAACAATGAAGGTTGAGGTCGACTGCCAACCTAGATACTCATGTCCCTCAAGGTCTAGGATATTGTTTTGGGGCAATATTAATTTTCAATTTCACATTTGGTGTCACCTTGACATTGACCAAATTTTCATGAACTGAAGCACAACATATTACAACATAGAAACATCCTCAATCAAAAATACACCAAAACTGTTCTTTGGAAACTTCTTCTTGGCTACAAACATACGTTTCTGAAGGTTAGCCTTGTGTTTTCCCACTCATTTAAAATTAGTGAGACAAAAAACATCACCAGAAGCCATAATGGTAATTAATGATGTTATACTGAACCAAAAACAAAATGCTTCAGCCACTGCCGTGGTACTTTTTTTCTTTCCTTTGGACCCTTTTGTCTATAATGAATACAAAAAAATAAAAAAAATAAAAAAAACAATAGATCATGATTAGTGATGGCATATTAGGTGCATCTCCAGAGCTTTTGCAGAGTATCATCAGTGCACGAGTGTGGACTTGATACAAGAACGAAGCTGCCGGTGGCCGACCGCCAGAATGACAGGTGACAAGGCAATGAAGATGATGTTGGCAAAACGAGCAATGACCATCAGATAATCGGCTGAGGAGCCACGGTTGTAGTTGAAGTAGTTGACAGAGATAACACTGGTCCCCCATGAGAGGATGAAGAGTAGTATGAGGGTGAGAATCACCTGGGGAAAAAAAGCACACAATTAAAAAGAAAGCACTTTCAGAGTTCAAGACTTTGTTGAATTTGCTGTAGTGATTTACTCTTAAACACATCCAGTCACATGGCTCATATCTGAAAAGACTGATTTACAGCTGAGCTCATCACTCTATGCAAATACAGCAAACTGAAACGAAGAGTGATGACTCAGAAGAGACTGCAAGTGGTTGCTGGAGCGATTGAAACAGGAGGCAGGGCTGCAGTGGCACTCATATGTCACAGGGAGATATGAGAGAATTTGCACCTGAAACAAACCAGCACATTGGGAGGATGCGTTTGATGACAGTGTGAATGTGCAGCTGTCCCTTCTCAAGCTGATGTCCTTTTCTTTGAGGCAATGCATTTACATTTTTTAAAAGCAACTTATTACATTTTACATTCATTTACACAGCTCGCTGACTCCTTCATCTACCTCCAGTGCCCCCTTCTTCCTCACCTTGGCTGCTCGTTTCTCGGCTGGCACCCGCTTTAATACCGGTGCGTCTTTCTGTGGATTCCGACCATGGGTGTAGAGGGTGTAAAGCGAGGTTAGGTTTGTAATGGCCATCAAGATTATAGGAATCATTTCATGTATCACCAAAGATGTGGTGGCGTAGGCCAGGCCAATGGTGGAGGGAAAGTTCCACACACAGCCCAGCAGAGGGCGTGTTGTGCTGCTCACCAGCATCAATGTCTGAGGAAAGAGCAGGGAGAGCAGAGGGTGGGTCATGTGCTCAGCCAGCAAGTCAGAGAGATTATTATTGATAGATTTTGGCACTCAAAGCCGATAAGCCAAGAATCTGTGAACTCGTAATACATTCTTCATTTTTTAAAATAGAGTTGAGAGAAACAAAATAGAGAAAAAGTAAATCAAGCAAATGTTTATGGCAAAACCAACGGGACAAAACATATGCAGTACTGCAATACACAGTAATACTAGAATTACTGTAGTAGTTAAAATAATACCAAATGGTCAAGTCTGAGTTTAATGATGATTATGGTTGCTGATAATGTTTTAGATGACCTCATTTTGGTTCTTGTCTCTTTTAAAATATGTAATTATTATTATGGCCCTGATGAAATCAGAGGGGTTGGAAGAACAACACATACACTATACTAGGTACACCTTATTAGAAGTCACTCAGAGACTTTGGTCCACATTGAGATGGTAACATCACACAGTTGCTGCAGATTTGTCAGCTGCACATGTGGCATTTAAAGATGCTCAGCTGATACTACAATGCCAAGGATGTGCCAAGAAATTATCCCTCACTCAGTTACACCATCATCAGCCTGACCCATGGATACAAAACAGGGTGGATCCATTTTTACATGTTATTTACACTAACTTCTGACCCCGTCATCTGAATTCTGCAGCAGAAGTCAAAATTCATCAGACCAGTCAACATTTTTCCAATCATTTATTGTCCAATTTTGATGAGCCAGTGTTAACTGTACCCTCAGTTTCCAGTTGCTGCTGACAGTGTTGTCGGTGTTCTGCTGCTGTAGCTCATTGGCTTCAAGGTTTGACGTGTTGCCCAAAATTCTCTTCTGCATATCTCAGGTTTAACAAGTGGTTATTTGAGTTGCTGATGAAGCCGTTGACCTCTGACATCAAAAAGTCATTTTTACAGAGAGAACTGCCGCTCACTGGGTGTTTTCCTCTGTTAATTCTAGACTTGGTTTTGAAGGAAAGGCCCAGCAGATAAGCAGTTTCTGAAATACTCAGAGGAGCCCACACAACAATCATCCCCATGCTGATGCTTAGTTTAAACTTCAGAGGTCATCTGGACCTCATGTCAATGCCAAAACGATTGAAGTTGCCTATTAGATATTTGTTAATGACAAGTTAAACAGATGTACCTACTAAAATGGCAGATCTGTGTCTATGTAAAGATCTATATGACTGTTAAAATGTGAAATGCATTTATTCATTCTTTTTTTTGTAATTAAATGATAAATACAGTGTCAAAGATTTGATAACCATATGAGTATCATCAGTACATACAAAACTATTGCATTAGTTTTGAATACAAGCTAAGTATTTTTTACTAATTGTGTAATGTAATGTTTCAGACAGTCATTGTTATACGTGTCACTTTATGTGATAGAATAACGACAGGGAAAACATTGATTGATAAAATAATTTGAAAAATTACTATTCATGATGACAAATAAAAAGAAATAGACTACTTGGAAGGTCCTTGGCAGTGCCCCTCTCACCTCTGTAGTGTTCTTGTTCCCATTAGAGGAAAATATATGAGCTGGAATCGAGTAAATAAGGTTACCAATCCAGATGAGGCCCAGGCACATCAGGAGGGTCTTAGGAGCACCCCGGGGCCCATTTGTAGCACCAGGAGCCACACGCTTCAACGTCTGGAGGTGGAACGCACTGAGGAAAAGTGTTGACCACGCATTGACTGACCGCAGCCACACCGACATTCCCATTAGCAACTGACAAAACCCTTTGGCTGTATATATCTGTAACAACATAAGAGGGGCTTAAAGGTGTAAGTGCAAGGGGCTCACAAGTTAAATCTAGATTTAATTTGGTTAATTTGATCTTTCATGCATGTTTTCTGTGTAAAACACATCATTGGGTGAAACACAACCAACATAGAGTATTGAGGAAAAAAAAAAGACTATGAAATGAGTGAAGAGTGAATTATGGACAATGACAATACCTGCAGTCCAAACTCTGAGATGATAAGGAGTGTGTTCCTCAGTAGTGATACCAGCAAGTTAGACATTGCCATGTTAACGATGATGATGTCCGAGTTACGTCCCCAGTTATGCTCCAAGATTATGCTCTTACCAATGACCAGAATCACAGTGGTATTGCCCAGAATTCCCATTATCACCAGGATAATGTAAAAGGCAGTTTGTGCAGGGGAAACAAAGATATGCATTCTCATCCCTGCAAGATCTTTTCTTTGGTCCGAGAGGCTGCTCATTGTTCCACAAATAAATAGACCAAGCTGTAAAGGAGTTTTAACAGCTCACGAAAAGTTCTGAAGAAATTTTCATCGTTGATTTGAATGAATATCAAGTGAAGATATATTAGTTATTATCCTCGAACAAGCTAGTAAGACGCTGGACTGTAGTTAACTGGCCTTTTGGTTGATTTTTTCAGTTTGAAGATGGAATCACCTGCGTTACTCCTCCATGGACTTACTGGAATAAAATGATCTTGCCTGTATCATTGGAGCTGTGCTCTTGTAACACAACCACTGTTCAGGCCACAGAACATTACACAGCATCCACGATACTCGAGTCCTCGGAGAGCATGAGGTGTATATTAATGAAGCACAGGAGATTAATCTACTTCTTTGCATAAACGTGCTTCCCTTGCAAGTTTGCTACCATCATCCTAAGGGAAGTGAAGGCTGTTTAGCGTGTGGTCATGAAACCTACTAACAGATATTCCTAAAGAAAATCAATACTTTGCACCTTTGTTAGAATAAGTAAATTAGTGGGAATTCTTCTCTCCTTATTCAGGACACGTTGCAGTGTTCACCAGTAGAAATTTTACAGTTTCTTGGCGCTCTAGGCAAAAATGCATAGAGGGTTTCTCCATTTATGTTATAAGGTTACGTTATAATGTATTTGATTCAAATCCAGGCCAAAGACTTTCTGCATGGTCTCTCTCCGCATGCACCAGCTTTCTGTTAAGGTCCAAGACAAGGCAGACATATTAGGTTAATTGGTGGTTCTAAATTGGGCCTACTTGTGAATATGAGTTGGCCTCTGTGTTAA